TGCTGGGGAGGTAAGTTTTGTATAAATTATAATATTTATTTTATTTTCTCTTTTCACTTTTCTTGTATATAACTTTGTTTCTTTTCTCTTGTTTCTTCTTCTTTTGTTTTCTTCTTCCTTTTCTTCTATTCCTATACGTGCATGAGAGTGTGGTCACGTACATTAAGTGGTAGACTTTGTAGGGTGTCCTCATCATTTTCAAAAAATATGGCCGAAGAAGATAATCAATCACTTCATAATGAGAATAATGAGAATAACCATGCTAGAATACTTAGAGACCACATGAATCCCACAAGAACAAGTGCACCATCATGCATAGTTTTTCCTTCCGATACATCTCATTTTAATTTTAAGCCAGGCATTATTTAACTTTTACCTTCCTTTCATGGCTTAGAATTGGAAAATCCATATTTGCATTTAAGGGAATTTGAGGAGGTCTGCAACACATATAATAATTTAAATTGTAGCATGAACACCATCAGATTAAAGCTTTTTCCTTTTTCATTAAAAGATAAAGCTAAAACATGGCTACAAAATTTGAGATCAGGATTCATTCGTGCTTGGGATGAAATGCAACAACAATTTTTAAAGAAGTTTTCCCCATCTCAGAGAACAAACTCTTTCAAAAGACAAATCACCATTTTCACTCAAAAACCAGGAGAAACATTTTACCAATATTGAGACAGGTACCGAGACTTGCTTAGTACTTGTCCTCATCATGGTTTTGAAACATGGAGATTGGTTTCACATTTCTATGAAGGGTTAACACCTAAAGATAGGCAAATGGTTATCCAACCTTGCCTTCTTTTAAGGAATGTATTCATAAACAAGCCGATGTTTTAAACAGTTTCCAAAGGGCCAACCACAACCCATACTTACAAACATACAACCCTGGTTGGAGAAATCACCCAAATTTTAGTTGGAAAAGTGAGAACAACAATACACAAACTTCACAGCCACCATTTCAAACACACCACAATTTCCAAAATTCTCATTGATATGCACCTCCTTATGCTCCACCTCCTAGAAGAAATCTTGAGGAAACATTGCATGCATTCATTGAAAAGCAAGAGACAATCAATACTCAACTTGCTCAAAACATGACAGATTTTAAACATACTCTTGCAAAATTAACATCTGCTCTCAGTTTCCAAGAGAAAGGTAAGTTTTCATCTCAACCACAACAAAATCTCAAGGGGCAATACAATGCAAATGCAAGTAGTTTCGGAAGCCAACACATGGATCAAGTCAAATCAGTCACTACTCTGCGCAGTGGTAAGGTTATTGAAAAACCCTCTCTTGAACCTTATGAGAAAGATGATGAGTCAATCTCTGAGGGTAAGGAAGGGGTTGAATCTGAAAATTGCAAAGAAACGACTGATTCACCACCAGCACTTCCATTTCCTCATGCCATGACCAAACAAAGGAAAGTCAATCACAACTCTGAAATTTTTAAAATTTTCAAACAGGTAAGAATCAATATACCTTTGTTGGATGCTCTTAAACAGATTCCTTCCTATGCTAAATTTTTGAAAGATCTATGCACTGTGAAGAGGAAACTAAATGTGAAAAAGAAAGCTTTTCTAGCCGAACAAGTAGGTGCTATTCTTCAGAACAATAATGCTTTGAAATATAAAGACCCTGGTTGTCCTATAATTTCTTGCTTTATTGGAGAGCATAAAATTGAAAGAGCCTTACTTGATCTCGGTGCTAGTGTGAATTTACTTCCATATTCAGTTTTTTAGAGTCTCAATCTAGGTGAGTTAAAACCAACTTCCGTATCTCTTTTACTTGCTGATAGATCTGTAAAAGTGCCTAGAGGA